CGGTACACCGAAATTTGACCGGTACATCCGATATTTGACCGAAACAGAATCTTAACTTATTCCGTTTCGGTTAACCTTCAAAACTGGTACGTACCGGCCATACCGGCCGGTACGAAACGGTATTGACTCCTTTGAGGACAACACCACTCTCTCATGCCCTAATTTTGTTTCTGGTAAAACCAACGTCATGTCTTTCACTACTCTAGTTGCCGTTGACTCTAGCATTGTCGATTATGCGTTGGTTAGCAATTACAGAAGACCATATCATTGCAAAACCACAAACACGTAGGCTTAGTGTTATTAGCTTTAAGGTTAGTGTTACGGCCCAAAACCCAAATCCAAGGGCGAAACAGACACCATACACTTGTGAGAGGATCCCACAAATGCACAAGGCTTGAAACTTACTAAATTCATAACTAACAATCCACATAAACTTAGATCAATAACTCAAAATAAAATCTAGCTTACAAAAGAATGATCTATATATATATATATTTTAAATCTATGCCCAAAATACAAGTAACTAGCCTTCTAGCTCATCACCCCCATTGGTTTCTCGCGTCTTGGGTCACACTACCTAAATGGTTGACAAAGAAAAACTAGTGAGAGAACTCAGTAAGTAAAATATGGATAGCCCTCACCAAAATGTTTAAGCATGCCAAGTAAACATTTTAATTTCAAACATGAAGAAAATCACAGTTATAAATCATTTATGCATGCTAGAATCTATTTAGTGGTCCCCTGAATTAGTTATTGCCAGTGTATTCTCCCAACTAGCTGGATAATAGAAATACCAGTGTATTCTCCCACTGGCTGGATAACAGAAAATGCCAATGTACTCCCCCACTGGCTGAATGAAAGAAATACATGTTGACATGTGCCAGCGTTTAACTCCCACAGCTAGGATAACGGAATTCATGACCATATTGGAGACAAACCATGTCGGAGTTAACTATAAAATTTAAAATTCACAAACCAATTTTAGATTTCTAGAACAAACAAGAAAACACCATGTGGGCATGCTCAGTTCAATAAAGGTAATAACAACTTTCAATTCAAATCAATCATGCTCAAGTGCTAATAAAGAAAATAAATCAGGTTAGATCTTGCCACCATCTCAAAACAGTTTAACATGTGCTTTTAAAGCTTTTATCTTAAAATCCAAGGGCATTACCATAAATTTACTTACCTCACCTTGTAGGTTAACAACGAGCAAGGAATTCAAGAACTCAAAGCGCTTGACGTAATTTAAAACCTATACCACATCAATGAACACTTAGAATAGACCTAAAACAACTCCAAAAGTCACGTGAAATAGCAAATATTCTAAACAGATTTTTTGGACAAAAATAAGGTGGAAAAATGGTGAGAAATTGAGCTCTTAGCTATCCTAGACACAACATAAATATTGGGCAGCAAAGTGGGGGGGTTTTTGCCATTTAAAGCAGTCCCAAAATTCTTAGAAAAGGACCTGAACAGTAGGGATTTTTGGGAAAAAGAAAGCAGCAAAAACAAGGTAGAACACAAGCTAGAACTGGGCAAAAATGGATAGCATTTAAGCAGCAAAAAAGGCAGCCAAAATAAAGCAATAACAAAGGATTTTAGAGCAAAAAAACAGCAGCTAAAAGTCTATTAAAACTATGATACAATGTAGCAGCAGATAAAGTGGGAATGAAATAGAAAACAGAGTAAATTTCTATCAAGTTCTAGTCAAATTTTGTGCTGAAACTTCCAACAGAATTTATGCCCAGAATTGACTGATCTGGATTGAGTGGTCAATAGATAAATTGTAGCCCTATGTCTTAACATTCTATAGCCTCAAGAATTATCTTAATCTAACATCTATAGAGAGAGTTATGGCCAAAATACTAACAGAAGGTCGGGCTGCCACTGCAGTCCACCTGCAGAGTCCAGAATTGCATCAGATTTTTCACCATGAAAACAACTGAACTAGATTAAAAGTACAACATAAAAGTTGTAGGGCTATCTCTTAGCTTTCTATAGAGTTAAAAATGGACTTAATCCAATAACTACAGAGGGAGTTATGGGCAAATCACTACAGAAGGGTCATGTAGTCCGAATTTTTGGCAAGTAAAGGAAATCAGTTTCTGGTGGTATTTATCTTGGATGAAATCAAGGGGAAACTATAGAAAATTTCTAAAATTTTAAAACCCTAAAGGATTAGAGTTAACCCAATTCAAATCAACGATGTAAAGATGAGAAACGTGGCTGATTTCTTATCAAAAATGCTGGAAAGATGGTGACCTCCTACACTACTCAAGAACCCACATGAACCAGAAAAATTTGGGGAATATTAGCAGCTAGATCTGGTTTTGAATCATCATTTTGAGAATCATGAGCTCATAAATCACTAAATCAAACTTGGGAGGAAGGAAAAGAACTAAATCTCACCTTGTTTTTCGGTAAGAAGGTGCTGGGCACAAGTTATAGCTTGTGGAGGCAAGTTTCGGGGGAGGGCTGGGGGGACACAAGGTAGAAATGGCAAGGAGAAAAGGAAAATCAATGTTAACCCCCTTAAATACCAGATTTCACTTTTAACCTCCCTTAGGTTTTGTGAATTTTAGCTATTAGGCCAAAAAATAATAACTTTTACCACAAAAATCCTTAACTTAAATTCTAACATTTCAAAAAATTTTGGAATATTACAATTAGACTCTTTGGTATTCAAGTACTCCAAATCTTATGATTCAACAAAAGTAAAATGAATTGAGTATGGCTTGAGCTGTCAAGCTAGGAAATGTATTATGGCCATGATATTTGGACCACTGTTAATTCGAATAAGTTATTAGGATTGGTAGTGGTCCAAAAAAGGCTAGCTAGAATTTAGAAGCTTCTCCTCTTTAACTTTTTGTCGTTCATATAAAGATAACATCACCTTCTCATGCCCTAATTATGTTTCTACCTAGGTCGACTTTGTGCCCTTTATTGCTCCAGTTGCCCCTAAGTCTAACACTGTCAATTATGCATCCGAAGTTAGTAATGGTTGTGGAAAATCACATCATTGCAAAACCACAAACACGTAGGTTTAAGGTTATTAGCTTTAAGGTTAGACTCTTTGGTATTCAAGCACTCTAAATCTAGTGATTCAACGAAAGTAAAACAAATTTGAGGCATTTGGCTAGGAAATGATATTCTAGCAATAATATTCAGACCATTGTGGGTCTAGACAGGTTATTCAAATAGTCAATGGTCCCAATAAGACTAGTTAAAATCTAGAACTTCTCTTTTTAAACTGTTTTCTTCTTTTTGTTCAAGGACAACGCCACCTTCTCATGCCCAAATTACATTTCTACAAAGGTGGACTTCATGCCTTTGATGCTCTAGTTGCACCTAACTTTAGTACCATCAGTTACACATCTAAAGTTGGTTAATTGTGGCAAAAGACTAAATCATTGCAAAACCACAAATGCGTAGGCTTAAAGTTATTAGTTTTAATGTTAAACTCTTTGGTATTCAAGTGCTCCGATTCCTTTACTTCAACAACAGTAGAATGAATCAAGCATGATTTGAGGCATTGGGCTAGGAAATGTATTTTTGTCATGATATTCAGATTACTGCTGGTCTGAACAAGTTATTTTGATTGATAGTTGTTCGAATAAAGTTAGCCAGAATCTATAAATTTTTCCTCTTATATTTTTTTCATTTTTTCATTTATGGAAAACATCACCCTTCCTGCAATATTTCTAAAATCAGACCAGATTGGTTGGTCTAACCGGTTAGATTGCCACCCGGTTGCCGAAACGGGCTGGGTGAACACCTAAGCCTGTTTTGACGATCCAACCATACAAACCTAGAAAAACTGCTTGCCCATCTAGCTTGGTAAACCCGATAAACCCACTGGGTGGATTCCCCACATTGGATGCTGCAACTTCTTTTTTTTTTTCCACAGTCAATTCAAACTTTAAAGCTTAAATTTGCTGTCTCCAAGGTTCGAACATGTGACTTCAACTTTTAAATAACTTTTGCCACTAGATCATCACCTTTAGAATTGATATCTTTTGCTTAACATTTAATTTCTTTTATTTTAAGAAGAAAATAATTGAAAATATCATTTAAGAAATCCAAATTCCTTCAACTTTATCAAGTT